TGATACCATGGCTACGCTCGGGACCCTAGATGACCTGTTTTCAACACTGCTATCCTGGCGCTTAATGGAAAAAAGGTGGTGTTTTCATATTGGCTACTTTTTAGTTCTTTTGTTAATTAAGAACAAATTTTTCTTGCCTCTCTTCAGTTCACCTGTATGCTCCTAAAAATGTAAACACATTACTAAGTAAGAGCGCTTTAATTTTAGTTAGTTGTTCCTCTTCCTTTTTGAGTGATAGAAGTTTCACAGTATGTATTTAATTTTCCTATAATTTCTAAAAGGCAAATTTCACTGGGGCCATGGAAGATTTCTCAGATTTATCCAGACTATGTAAAAACCACCATCACAGCTGGCTGAAAAGCAAAAGCTTGGTGAAATTGTCTTGGCCTGCTTCCCAGGGTTTCCCCGGCTTGAAGCAGTATCTGAGAGTTCAGTCCATCACCTGGAAGCTGCAATGACTCTGACTCACTATAGTCCCATTTAGCACATTGCTCTGTTATAATACATTTGTAAGTAATATGAGAAAGTTGATTCTCCTTCCAAATGTACCACATTTATAACCTAGGATATAACATCTCTGGAATTTGTCAATCTTAAATTTCTTCAAGTTGGTTGTTTATATAGCCATTGGGTGCATGTTCTTTTTATCTCTTGAAATGCTTGCAGGTCTCTTTCCTGTTTTGTAAGATCTGATCAATTTTGTTTTGATATCTTAACCCTGAGGAGTCAGGTGAACATTTTTTAGGGGGACATTCTCTCTTAAGGTGAGCAGAGCACCTTTCATAAGGACCACCACTTATATATGGCCAATTCTATGCCGTAGGAATGCTACGCAGTGTGCCCACCATTGGAAAGGTGGTGCAAGCACGTAGGGGACAATTTATATCCATCCCCGCTTCTAGTCACAGGAACACTTTGTAATTAAGAATCATAGAATTCTATAAAAGATAATGTCTTATAGTAGAAGACATCTTATAAGGTCATCTTATCCAAATTTATCACCACCTAACATTATACATGGGAGAGGGAAACAATGGGAGATAACGGATTTTCCTAAAGTCATGTAGCTTAGGTGATTGTAAATTCCAGAGTCTTCTGAATCTGAGCTGATATTCTCATGACACCTTATGTCTGGAAACCGTGGAGAATGAAAACATATAAAACTGTCCTTTGTGCAGAGTTTTGCTAAATGGTTTCTGTTACTATTGACCCAAATTTTATCTTACACCTAAATTACTTTTCATCAGTTCATGAAAAGGCAAAAGAGTCACACTGTTAATGTTACAAAACAGCCATTCTGTAGTTTTATTATTACTAATTAAAGTCCTAATTGGTGGTTGTCCAGTTGCTTCAGATAGAAATTAAAATAATTATTTTGCTAAAATAAAGTCAGATGGAAAATGCTTGGAATATCCCAATTTTGTACTTAAGATAGATGCTTATTTTTAAAATAGAGGTAATGTATTTTAGGTTGTTAAGGGCGATTTGTTGAATACTTACCAGGCCACAGTATTTGGCTTGTCTTTCTTTTCAAACAAGTCTGTTGGGCCTTGCTCAAATCTTCCACAGCTGGGTCCTATTCAAAGTCAGAATACGAATGACAATAACTATCTCTAATGCCACAGTAACTTTAAGAGATGCAGCATGCCTTTTTAACTATAAAAGGGGTCCATTCTGGTGCCAAATTACATAGAGGTACAGTTTTGGGGACAGAATAGAAATTGAATACACTAAGGTATTGGTTTGGGAAAATGAGCAGTATATAATCTAATATCTTTAATTTTATGTACAGGAATATAATGTATGTCAACTTTGTACATGAGATACATACAGTATTTAAACATTTTACTCAACAGATAAGAATTTACAATGCAACATAACTGACTAGAGGACCATCCACTTAATATATTTAGATTAGATCTGTACTTTAACAGGAAAAGAATTTAATAGTTTACAATCATAGAAACACTGACATTTAAAACAAGACTTTATAAAATAATTTATATATATCCTAGCATCTACAGAGAGGAATGATTTGCATTTGTGGATGTGTGCAATGAATGGCATATTTTAAATTTTTAGGTAATAAAATAATTTAGAAGCAGTTCATGCAGTGGTCAAAGCAAGGGATGGCAGCTCCTTCCAAATGTCCTCTATGTTTGACATCAGTGGGCCTCACACACTAGGTACCACTGGCGCACACTAGGGCAAGTGTCCTCCAGCAGTTACTTGTACAAACATCAAAGAACACAAGTTGATATCCTTCCTTCCACAGAACAGGTATAGGTCACAACTTCTCTCAGCTGTGGGAGTGCTCAGTTTATACTTAAAGGGATTTAATGTCTCTTCTGGAGTTTTACGTCACATCATTCCGTACAAGGAAACTAACAGAACTTTCTGGTTTTCACGACTTTACTCTGATACTTCACAGAGTGCCCCCCATGTCCTATGACATAAACATCCAGTAGGTAAGATTTTCCAGGCTGAAGACCTTTAATTGTTTCTGTGGTTACTGCTTTCTGCAGGTTTTGACTGTGGAAATATTTACAGAGGACCTTTTCCGATTTCTTCCTTGTCTCCGGTCCTAGGCACTGGTTTTGTTCTCTCTTCTTCTGGTCTTCATTGTAGTTTTCAGCCACTTCCTTTTTGTAGATGCAGAACTTGTTCCTTTCCTGCGTTCCCAGCCAAGCCACGGTGGCCGAATAGCAGGTGCGGAGCTTGTCAAAGGCTTTGATCCTCGTGTCTTCGGGGAGGGCGGGAAATGACTGCTTGCTGGGCCTTGTGGCAGCTAGTATTTTCAACATGGAGGCCCCTTTCTTGTTTCCTTTCAGTCGGATGAGATACTTTGCCTTAGGTTTCCCTCTCAGCTGAAACTGCCGGATGCCTTCCACATTCTGGGACAGAAGAAGTTTCCCATCTCTTCTGACTTGGATTTGGACGGCGTCCAGACAGGAGTGAATGAAGAAGGTGACTTTCTGGTGAGAAGAAACTGGAGCAAATCGTAAAAACTTTGCTCCCTTCCTCTTAATGAATACATCCGCAACTTTCCCATCTTTGAGCTCCAGCATCTTCTGCTTGGCCTCCTGCTTGGTCCTGGCGAAGGTGCCCACGTAGGCGGTGCTCGTGTTGCTACGGCTGTTGACCACGAAGACGTCGAAATAGAACTGTGTGTCTGGTTTCAGGTCCGACACTGTGAAGATGTTCTTGTTTCCTATGCAGATCTGCTGGATGTCCACCTTGGGCCTGGCGTACACATGGCGCCCCAGTTTGGGAGGAGGCTTTGCCAGGAAGCTGCGTTCTTTCCCTGAAGTATCCGAAGCAAACCCAAAGTGGGCAAAGTCGAAGGGGCTGAAGTCCATACCAGGTTTGGGTGCCATCATAAAAGCATCATCTGCACTCAGCTTTGCTTCTACAGCACAAAGGCTTTTGAAATTGTGCTCTTTGTTGATGACCACACAGTACTGAATGGGCTGCTTCAGTAGAGAGGCTGTGGGGCTCGGTTTCCAGGCCAGCGTGACTGTGGTGCGCCCCAGGGACGTCACATCTACTCTTGGGTCGTAAGGCAATTCCGGGTAGGGCTGATCAGACTCGGGAGTTGTGGTGGCATAGACTTTGAAATGTGTGTCTTTCTCTGTTGAAAGAAGTTCCAACTGGTAGAGACCAGATGGCGAACTAGAAGATATAAAATACTCCACATCATTGCCTTTGTAGGAGAATAACTCGGTGCCTGCCTCATTAATGACCTGCTGCTTCTGCTCCTCCAGAGGTTCGGGGTCACCTAGAAGATAGAGAAACACAGGCCACACGTCAGGGATACACTGCAGCTTCCCAACCTTATGTTTTTAAGACTATCTGATTTTTTCTCCATCATAAAAATAATACATCCCCAGTAGAAAAACGGGAAATAGAGAAAAAAAACAAGATTAAAAGTTCTTCTATTAATTTGTGATTCTGAAGCAGTGCTTTATTCATATTTTGATTTATTTCCATCGTTTTCTCTTTTGCATATTTTATACAATTGATATTGTTTTCATTTTTCTCTGTAACTTAGTCACATTTATTCTCATGCATATGTTCCTATACAAATGTTCATTGTTGAATCCCGTTTCCTTCATTAATGTTATGATTACATTAATATTACATCATAAAAATAATACTATTGGTCAATTTTTAACCATTTTAACAATGCTCTTATATATGTGTAAGGCTTTTCTGAATTTAAGTTTAAATAATTTCTTCAGGATAGACTCTAATTAGTGGGTTTTTATGTCAAAGACTAAACTTTCCAGAGATGTCAATCTGCTCTACCTACTGTCAATCTGTTTACCAAAAGGCTTCTATCTAGTTGCATTTTGATGGCCAGCCATATCTCTAATTTCATTTTTGTTACTAGGACTAGATAATCTCATTAAAATATAGAATATAAAGCACCAGTGAGAGTACCCAATTTTCAATGTATTGAACACATGCCCAGGAATAATGTGGGGAAGCTATTGCAACCAAACTACTTTTTCCATCTTTTTTTATTGTTATCATCATACAAAGAAACTCATCACACAAATACCAGTGTGTAGATGAGTTTACAAGGCTGGTGAAGGTGAGGTAGCCAGAGTGGGAATGAACCTTCCAACTTATCACTGCAGGTGAAAGTAAGGTCTGCAGAATTTCTATTCCCAAACCTGGGATTAACAGTCATACAGCTGTTCATTCTCTCTATCTCAGTCTCATTATTCTCTACCTGTACGGCCCACAGTCCCTCACCACTGTAAGTGGAGTGGCTTGCTAACATCCTTTGCACAGCACTGATCATCAAGCCTTCACCTTTCAGCTATGATGTCTTTGCCCCTTCAAGGGAGCATCTCTTCAGGGCCTCATACAGACCCTTTATTTTCTTATATCTTGGTATTTGCTTTCCACCATCTGCATCTTCTTTAAATGACTAACCCACCCTTTCTACTGACATTCTTCACATCCTGGACTTTCATTGGCCCACCCTTTATTCCCCAGAGATCTTGGCTGTATATTAGAATCGTCTGAGGGGATCTCTTAAGTGTCCCAGTGTCCAGACAACCCCTCAGGGCAATTAAATTAGAACCTCTGACAGCAGGATCCAGGCATCACTAGTTTTCAAAGCCTCCAGTGCTGATTCCAATGGTTGGACATGATTGCAAACCATAGCCAGAGAAGGTAGTCCAAACTTCTCCCCTTTTCCTCACTCCTTCAGTGCCTGCACCTGCATCCCTTAAGCTTTTATTTTACCAAGATGACCCTCATCTTATGTCATCTCCCATTTCCTGCACCATCGCACAGTCTCCAGCCTCACCTATGCATCCATGCTGTTTTTTTCTTACAAAAAAGGCTGTATGTTTCATAAACCTTTTAGCTGTCCATTCAGAGGTCTGGGGCCAGGTGCTGCTTACCTGAGCCTTCGCCGCTTGCCTCCTCTGGCAGCTCCTGGAGACTCAGCTTCCACTCTAACGGCGCGTCACAGGGAGTCACTGTGACTGATAACGGAGTATTGTCTTCTTCCACCACAAAGAAATACCTGTGGGAAAGTGGACCAGTTCACACTGAGGTAATTCATTTCAACACTTAATAATCAAGACCTACTTGAAACATTTCTGGTTTAATTTTTACTCACTTAACGGAGAATAAAACTTGCTATTTGACAGAAATCCTGATACTTTCAGAATTAGTTGTGGAAATACAATAGCCAAAGCTTCTGCAACCGGGTTTACCACCACATTGTAAAATAATAAAAAGATGTTAAAACCAAAAGTATTTTGAGTTGCAAATCAACACTGACCTGTTTTGGGGTGTTATTTAACACAGGCCCTGCCATTGCAAAGTAAGTCACAGACAAGAGAATTTCCAAATCTGTTGTCCTGCTGATGGTGTTTTCCATAAACTTGGCGATAAATTTCTAAGCTACCTTGCGGGCACTCTGACATAGTCACTAACTATTTCAGGAGATCATTTTCACAGTGGGATAGCTCTAAAATGCATGCTGGTATCTGGCAAAATACACTTTATTCACATGTTTGCATTAGTAACTTTCATTCACAGCTTTACTATTTCATATTTTTTAATAGAGGCCTCTAATTACCATTTAAGAAGTATTTTTAAAAAGTAACGGTCATGTGTCAGTGGAAAGACACCTTTCTCTATCACTAAGAATTTCTGTTGAATTAAATAAACTAAGGATTTTAAAACATTAAAAAATGTCAAAATATTCTGCTCTACACTTTCTTTTCAGATTTCTTTTATGATGCCTGAACTTTCAAGAAAAATTAAATTACTGCCTAACTATAATAATGTTATATATTCTTACTCTGAATAACTTAGTTAATTTCATTTAATTATCTTTCAAAGCCTATAATCTTATAAATGAGGAAAGAGTGTTTTTAGTTCTGGCAAGCTCAGAGATGATTGCTGGTTCCATGGCAAAGAATCATCAAGGCTTCCCTTCTGTAGATTGTACCTCCTGGGTATCTGTTTCCTCTCTATTCTCTCCATATCCTCTACCAGCACCTTCTCCAGGCTGTCCACCATTGCCTCTACCCCATCAGTCTTCTCTGTGGCTACTTCTCACCTCCTAGTCTCTAACCATGCTGTGAAGCAGGGGCCTGCACGTGGACATCTCATTTCTACCTATGCTCATTCCTGTGTTATCTTACCTAGACTCCTGGTTTTAACCTTCTACATGTTAGCAACTCCCAAACCATCTGCCTGAACTCTTGCCTAAATTCTAGATACAACTATCTTCTTGCCATCTTTACATACCATGGAGAAATTCGGACTTAAGATTAAGTGAAACTTCTGATTCTCCCTCTAAAATCAGCTTCTCTTGAAGTCCAATCTCCTCTCAGTAAATGACAACTCCAGCCTTCCACTTACTCAGGACAAACATTTAGAGTCATTTTTTACTTTTTCTTTCTCTTCCACTTTATCTACATTAGATCAGCAATCGTTTTTGCTCCATCTTTACAACATATATGGAAACCTTCACTTTGTTCCACTTTCCTTGTTACCACCTGATGCAAGCACCATTATTTCTTGCTTGACCATTGCAAGAGCCTTCCAACTGGTCTCCCTCTTTCCTCTTTGCCCTGCTTAGCTTGTTTACCTCCTTCTAGGCAGAGTTGTCCTTGTATTCCTAAATCAGAACACACCACTCCCCCTTCAACCCCTCCAAGAGCTTCTAGTTTCATTCAGAGTAAAAAGCATAGAACTCACAATGACTGACAAGTCCCTTCTTGTTTGTGTCTCCAACAGCTCCCTTCCTCCTTTTTGCAGCTCTTAACTATCTTTGGAACATATATGGTACACTCTGGCCTCAGGGCCTCTGCATTTGCTGCTCCTCTGAGATATTCATCTTCTGGCTATTGACCTTGCTTGCTCAGTCACCTCAACCAGGTATCTAGCAAGCACCATCTTGCCACAGACCTACCCTGATCTCTCATGTGCAATATCACCTTCCTACCCATGAAGTTCTCTTCTACTCTTCTTAATTTGTCTTCAAAGTATTTACAACTGCCTGAAGTATTATGTATTTCTTTGCTTAGTTTTTTATTTTTCCATCTCCTACAACTAGAATGAAAGCTGTAAGAGGGCAGGACATTTGGTTCATTGATGAAGACTTAGAGAGCAAAATAATTCTTAATAAATCTTTGTTGAATGAACTAACAAGTAGATTTACACTTCAGCTTTTGGGGAAAGGTCCTTAATTGTTCACAGACTCTAAAACTTCCTCAGTGGTGGGGCCCCTCCAACCTCAACAGCCTCTTACCACATCACTATCACTTTTGCTTTCTGTGCTGAAACCACATGGGGCTCCCTTAGTTTCCCACTCCACCCTGTCTTAGAGCCTTGGGATGATTCTTTCCTCTGCCTGAAATATACCCCTTTGCCTTTACTCATTCTTCAGCATCACTTCTTCAGGGATGTCTTTGCTGACTTCTAATTCGGGATCAGACTTTCTTGTACACTCTGTTCTATAGTTTTCACTTGGACACTTAACTAAAATTTGTAATTCAGTGTTCATTTTCCATGTCATTGTATTCACAGCATTTAGCACAGACTTTGTATATAGTAGGTACTTGAGATGCATTTTTGAATGCATTAATAACTAAATTAATGAATAAAACCCAAGAATCTTAGCACCAACTTATTGTTCTAGTCTGAGGATGCTCATACCCAGAGTCTGTTTCTAGCTGAAAATACAGAATCTGAATTGAAATATAAATACTTTTTCTCTCTCATGAAAGATGAATTAGGGGATGGAGGCCAGTGGGACAACAAATAAAGTGAAGACTCTATAAAAACAAAACTAATTTGTTAACAAAATAGTAGAGTAGGACAATCATACACATAATCAGATGATTGAAGTATTTGCTATATGGAAAGTTTTATGTACCATGAACATCCCTAAAGACAGGTAGGTGTCAGATGGTTTAATTTTCACTTCAGTCTACTTTTTGGAGGGTAGAATTTTTTTCCTTTGGCCAGATTTCATGGGAGATATAAAACACATAAACACAACTGAACCCCTCTATATACAAAGAAATAGGTAAACAGAAGAATTCATTTGACATCATAAAAGTAAAATATGCTCAAAACTTGTTTTTGTCTGTAGTTTTTATGTGGGTAGCAGAGCTAACTGTTGCTGAAGCAGAAATCAATGTGCCAGTTCATCTATTACCTTCTGTTCTCATTTCAAACAAGAAAGTAGCTTATTTCCCCAAGTAAGCAAATGTGTCTTAGGAACTTAAATCCAGGCCATAGATAACCATAACAAATAAAACAATGCTTACACTCCACAAGGTAATCATTATACACAGAAAACAGCAGGAAGTCCCTTAGAATCAACGTTTTCATATGGAAGCACTTAGGATTAGGGCTAAAAGATAATTTGGATAAACTTAAACAATTTGACAACTATTCGTTGTCTACCATGCACAGAGCACTCATGGAAGAGAGTGGCAATCAGAGATGACAGGGCATGATCTGTGTGGTCCAGGTATTTGTGGGCTAGTGAAAGAAACAGAAATGTAATGAATAATGAAGAAACATGGTCCCAAATTAGAATGCCAAAGCTAAGGAATAAACATTCCATGAACCACTTAGCCTTTGGAATTTATGTATAAACTTAAGAATATTTAATGAACTTGTTGTCTTTTGCTGTTTGTTTGCTTCTGCTAAACTTTATCTGGAATTTCATCTTTAGTTATAATATCAACAATGTCTGTGAGTCTCCCAGTGCATATTTTACCCCTAGAAATGATGTTTCTGTGGTGGCTGCAGTTCTTAACTAGTGTAAGTAAATAGTCCATTCACTGTAGGTATCAAAGCTTCCAATCATTATTTGTGGGGGAAAAAAGACAAATAGAAAGAACAAATAAATGAAAGAAATAAAGACAGGGACAGACAACACAAATGCTGACTGTATTAAAATGTCCTGTAGTAAAGACATGTTGGTTTAGGGGGAAAAAAATGTTGTGATTTTTAAGATAACTCTTAGAACCAAAACACATTTAATGTTTAAGATAGATCGAGGATAAACTCTTCATTTGGTTAAGTGATATAATCACACAATGTGGAATGCTGTCTTTAAAGAATACTGTGAAGACTGAAGTAATCTTTAATGAAAAATTTTGATTCATTCAAAAATTTCGAAAGACAAAATAACCTGAAAAGCAAAATGTGTTGAGCAAGAACTCAGCTAATATTTAAGTCTAATTTGAATTATCATGATGCCCTGATGCCCTTTCCTGTTTTCACAGACTGAGTCTCAGTAAGTCCTAGAACACAGAGTTCCTTCAATATAATCATACTTGCATTTTGTGCCTTCACTTTTATGGATGTCATTTAAAGATTCGTAACTATTTTATGTATTACTGACAAGTCAGTTCCTAACGTATTATATTTATTCAAATAATTTCACTGAGGCCGTGCCGAAATGACAGCCAAACAAGAGGTCATTTCACTCAAAATAGGAAACCTGATCACCTACTATCATTCAGATTGACCAGACAGTAATACAACTGGGCATTACATGGAAGAGAAGCACTACTTACCATTATTATTGTCAATCAAAAGTTAAGTGACAAGAGGAAAATGACCAATAATGAGATAACCTCAACTTTTGGAAGATGGATTAGTGGTAATATGAATAGTTTCATCCTTTGGAACATCAATTTGTACCAGGTTAAAAAGTGAAATTTCTTTTGCTATATAATTGTCCAAAGTTTAACTACAACTTCTATACTTACAAAAGTAAAAAGAGGTTTGCACATTGCTAAGTAAGTAATTTTAAATATAATTAGTTTATATGATATGAGTGTGTGTATGATTTTTAAAGGTTGAAATATTTAGAAGGATTATGTGAACCCAATTTGTCAATGTTGGAGTAAAGGTACATGAACAGAGTCTATTTTTATCATGGTTTTGATGTTCTCAGGATCTGGTCATGTTGGTCAAGAAAATATTATTCTTAAGACAGTGTAAACCTTTGAAGAATCATATGCATACAATTAATTGAATTTT